TGTTATTGTTACCACAGTACTACTTCTATCACCGAAACTGTTGAAAAGTCGTACTAATGCATTTAATAATCCAAAGACAAAGGGACGATTGTATTAAAGAACGAACCGAACTGCACCAGATAGCGCGCCGGTATCTGGTGCACCCGCTCTGCGTGAAATATAACTCACAACAGTGTTATGTTCCTGCGAAAAGCATATTGTTTTTGAAGATCTGGCGAGCAAGTTGTAAACTGACTCAGTCATTTCATAGACGAAGAGATGTTTCTCTTAATGTATTGCATATATAGCTTTGAGACTTCCTGGCCTCGTCAGTAAGCTCGCTGGGCAGAAAGGCCCAAACTATGCAAATCTTATTCGAAATGTACGAATTCAGATTACAAAACAGCGAACCCAAAACATAGCCCCTCACGAAATGCCCGTGGGCAGAGGTGCCACGAGGCGGCAGCTGCGCCGATGGGGCCAGCCGCAGCTGCGGCGACCCTATCGGCGCAGCTGCCGCCTCCCCCCGCGACCGCAACCAAACCCCGCCCCCCCCGCAACCACAACCAAACTCGCGTTATCCATGTGATCACCATCGCCACCATCTATATCCTCCCTCTCCTCCTCCTCTTTCTTTGCGTTGTCCTCCACCATGGCTGCGAGTCTTCCACATGCGTGTGCTAATGTGTATATTATCCCTTCCTGTTCGCTCCGAACCCGTATGGCATTTCGTTGTATACTTTATATGCATTCACGATGGCCCCGCCATCATCCTCTCACAAGTATCGTCGCGCTCCGTAGGGTGCCTGGCGCGTTTTTCGCTGGTGCTGGTGACGTCAGTCTCGAGCGGGAGCCGAATCCCAGATCAAATTGTGAGGTTGTCTCCAGCGGGTGCGTCATAACAGAGTGAATTGCGAAGGAGTATCGGGCGCACCCCCCATCTCATCTGCGTGGGCCCATTCGAGGTTAAGAACTCATGGCGGCCACCAGAAGCGCCATAGGATTGAACGTGCGGGGCACTTTACGAATGTGTCTCTGGGGCTTGTTCGGAGAGCCTTGGCGGGGGGAGCTTCCGTAACCGTTTTGGCTCAAACAAGCCTTTCATTTTTGTTTGTTTCACAGCCTTCACTCATGTGTGAGTGCGGTTCGGGCCCTTGATGTGTGGCACGGGCGGTGACTGGCTGGAGCTGCGTCGCCAACTGTTGGATTCAGATCTCGGCGGAGAGTCGAGCAGCAGCGGCCCGTCAGAAGTCTTGTCAGGTTGGTCACTGTTCGGATCTCCGACCGACGATGACGTGGACGGCCCGCCCGAGGGCGCCGACGCCGCCGCCATAGCTGCTGATGACATGATCGTCGAAGCCCCGCCCGTGGATGCCATAGTCGAGGTCCCACCCGCTCAAAGCGGGCGCGGCCGTCCACGTCGGAGAACCGTGAACGCTGTGCTCGCAGATGTGATGACACACCACGGCGGCATCTTGGCGCCGCCAGCGTCTGGGGCGCAGCAGCTCGAGAGCCAGGTCGACCCCGTCGACGGCGGACCCGAGGACAGCATCGGCGGCGCAGCTCCAGCCAATATTAACCCTTTCGTGGTTTCAGATGCAGAGTCGTTCAGACGCCTGGTGTTAGAGGTGGGCGATGCAATCGCCAACAACATAAGTTTAGACGGCTTGTTGGACCAGACGCACATGGAGATCGGTGAGTATGTATTGAGAGAAAAAAACAACTATGATGTCAGCCTCTGCATCTGCACACATGTTTGGCATATCTTTGAACGCGTTTCAAAGTGTAGAAGAGAGAACGGCTGCCGCTGCTGTGTTGTACGATCGCCACTCCGTCGTGAGATTGATGGAGCATGTGTACGATACTTGCATTGCTGGGGGCGCCGTAGGCCTGGTCTTCACAGAGGCCGTTCGCTCAGATGAGACCCAGTTGCCTGCGAGGGGCGCCGCGGGGTCGAACGACGAAGGCAATATATACAACGACTTGCCCGACGATGCTGACGAGAGGGCGAAGCTGGTCAACACCGAATGGAACTACGGCATGTTGTTTGTGAAGCGGGGCAGCGGCGGCCAACCTTCCTCATACGTCAGTTTCTCATTCAGTCTCTGCACCCCTGTCCAAGTGGTTTCGAATACAACTGGAGAATGTTATTACGCCGTGCTGCACCAGACCCGCCTGGCCGACGCAGACCGCATCGTTCAGAAGTTCGCCCGCCACCAGAGGAACACGACCACAGACGGAGACAGGGCGTTCATCAGAGCTGAGCGTCACCGCTCATGTGTCTACCCCGACATGCACTTGCTACATAAGCTGCGTTGCGTCCATAGAGCGTCAAATTGCAAGAAGGAGCCATTCAAGAAAAAAGTGCCCAGAGAAATTGAGTGCTACACCAATCTCGCCCTTGTGATGCGCAGGGCCTACAACAGCAACACTTTTCGGAGAGAGGTTAAGAAACTTATACTTGCGCCTGGTCGGTTCACTTACCTGGCGGAGGGGGCCTGCTTGCCAGTGCATGTGAAACGTCTCGAGCACCTCCTCGACCTTGCGGCGCCGCCCCGCACCCGCAAGAACGTGTGGAGGCGGAGCGTCATATGGGCTACGATCAACGGCGGCATCGACGGCTCCAGGCTCATTCACGTTGCGAACTCCCCCAACGGATGCAGATCTGAAGAACGAGTTCGGCAATTGTTGTCCCGCGATTTCCTCACTGCCATATGTCCGCGGGCACCCCGTTCGTTTCCTTGTCGCCAGTGGAATGGGTGCGAAGAGATAGTGGAGTATTTCATTCTTGTGCAGGGCTTGGGAATATTTGCCGACGCATGGAGCAAGTGGATTGCCGTGTATTATCCCAGCGAGAAGAAGGGCGCACATCCGAGAGTTGACCTAGACGGCAAGGGCGCGCTCCAAGCGGCCCTGGACTCGAACCCAGCAGGCATGAGCGTGCCGCATCTCACCGTCGCAGCGCAGGAAGAGTTGAAAAAGCTCGAACAGAAGAGCCATAGGGGTACCGTCACGAAGCACTTAGCTACTATTGGCCCAGATGAAGTCCTATCCACTGCCGTCGTCGTGCTGAGAACAATGAACTTGCACCGCGATTTCATCGGTGGGCTGATCTACTCTTGTGGTGACCATAAGAAGTTGAAACAGAAAGCGTCAGCATCCCAGGCGTTGAAGGGCAACCATGGCCGCACCTTCATGTATCAAGTTCTGGAGGCTTACGACGTGGAGTTGGAGACTCGTCTGGTTGACAACGCTTTCTTTCTGATGTCAGACTCCGCTCATTGGGAGAGCATCCCGCTGCGATGCAGGACTCTGAGGTTGCAGTGCACTGCGTTCCGCTTGCTATCTCAGGCCGTCTGCACGACATCACTTATCAAGTTGGAGAAAACATGGTATCCGAATAAAACGTTTGCTGGCATCCGCAGCGACGATGCCATGCAGGCGGCTCTCGACGAGAAGGATTGCTTGCTCGACCCCTGGTCGCTGCAGTTCTGCAGGCACCACAGGCACGGGGTCATCGCAGACGCGCAGCATGACTTGATGCACGTGGCTAGCTTGCTCCATGAGGACACAGTGAAGCAGGAGTGGAGCCAAGGCGTCTTGCGACGCACCATCGCCTCACGATCGGTCAACACGTGGGTTGCCAGCCTTTCCCGCATCAACGTCGAATGGATCGGCCAAGGGTTCCGCAGGCTGGCGAGAGCCTTTCGGCAGCTTCGGACACCCAGCTCAAGCAGCCCTGCGGCCGACCAGCCATGCCAGCAACAAGCCCGCGCTGCTGGCGCCCCGAGCGCCCCGCGGAGGCGGAAGCTGCGGGCTGCCGACGTCTTCTTCAGTCGTGAGTGCGGGCAGGAAGGCAACGCACAGCCCAGCTTCTCGGGGATGTGGGCGAAGTTCCGCAGGCTGGGCGACGGCGACATCGACGAGCTCCAGCGGCAGGCGGATGAGGCCAACGCTGAGGTCAACGAGGGGAGGAGGCCTTTTCCGATGGGTCGGCGCGAGATGCAGCGGGCCAGGGCCCGCGCCGACGCAGAGGCAGTTGCCGCGATGCACGTCCGCGCTCAGCTCGCCGATGACAGAGTTGGTCAGCCTGCTCCCCTGCACCGCGCCCTGGGGGCCCATGGGCGCACCCTCGCTGCCGTTGCTGCGGCTGCCCCGTCGGGTGCGTTGGCCGCCAGGCCGAGCGCAGACGCCCTTGCAGTCATCAAGCGTGCTCTGCGGACCTCTTCGGACTCGGAGCGGCGTGAGGAGAAGGCCCGAACGAGCTCCAAACCGACCCCCCCCAACCAGACACGGATCCCCACCGACGTGTTGTTCGGTGTTGTTTACATTGGAGCGTTGGTGTTTGTTGTTTTTCGGTTCGGTCTGCACTCCGTGGGGGGGGTCGGGGTAATCGTGTCTGGGTGGGGGCGATTTGCAGCTCGTTGGAGGTTGCCGAGCAGCAGGTGGTCGATTTCGCCGAGAGGGGCGGCCGCGCGGGCGCTCGGGAGCTGGCCCTGGCAGCGGGCCGCGTGGTGCCGCATGCCGCTGACGCCAGCTTATTCGTTGCCGACCCGAGGAACGCCCAGTCCGAGGAAGGCGCGCCGAATTTCTTGCACGCCGAGTGGGCCGACGACTCCGTCTACCAGCGGGCGCAGCGACTCGCTGCGCTGACGGGGCAGACCCGCCCAGTGCGCGCGTTGCGAGGTCTCTTGCATCGCTTCTGGCATGGGCTGTCCCGCACAATATTGCACAAGGACTGCGAGGTGTTCGACGAGCCACCTGTCCACAGGAGGTGCTGGGAGGCTCGCCGTTGCATATGCTGCCCTGAGTCGGCGTCGCTGGTAAAGTTGAGGGCTAACCTCGAGAAGACCACGCGGCGCTTATACCGCCCTGGAGCTCTTCGGTCCAACGTTGATTCAGGGTTCATCGTGTGCTGTTTCATCGGCTTGGCTGTTCGGCAAGATGGGGATGGCGGCCCCGCTGCCGAGTGCGACGATGGTGCCCTCTACGCGTTCATGCACGTCGGCTTTCACAGCTGAAGCCCGTTCGAGCCCTTCTACGTCCCCATGCGGACGCCAGGGTACGTCGTCGACTTGGACGGCGACCAGAAGCTCAGAGAACGCTTGGTGGAGTTGGAGGCGTTGCCTAGGAGTCTTAATGCGTGGGCTGCTTGCGAGATCTTCGACTTGTCGAAGCGTTGGCTGCTGGCGCACTTCGAGCTGATCGAGAACGACACCGTCGTGGGCGCCGTGGAGCCCCGACTGCAGAAGGGGACAACACGGGCTGTTAATGCATGTCAGGGGGGCACGCCCTCACTTTCCCTCTGCTTGCAGTGGTGGTTCTCTCACCGCCACACGCCGCTGAATGCCCCAATCAGTGCTTGCACCGTCAGTGTTTGGGGTCCTGGCGATGGTGGGGATGTCTTGCGGGAGTATCGGATGGTCAACGGCCTCCTCGGGGCCTCGGGGCGCGTCTGGATGCCATCTGGGAGGCAGTGTTTCTGTTCGGACTCTTTTTTTTCAGCGGGCGTGAGAAGGGCGCAACTCTTGGTTTGCTCGAAGTGTTCCTGGGGGTCTCGGCCCGACGATGGCATCCAGCGGCGTTGGAGGCGGAGGGCGGTTCTGGACAGGGCCCCCCGATGGCCCAGGACATCGCGCTGGCTGGCGTTGCTAATTCCATTCGGTAACTTGGCTGTGCACTACCCATGCGTAGCCCGTCCAACCCCTCGCCGCCGATCAATCGGTCCACGGTGCATCGTCGGCTGGGCGCGACTCGAAAAACTGAACGCCCCCCTAGGCGTCAGCACCGTCAGGGGGTGAGCGGACGGGCGCGTCAGCCACTCCGCACGTTTCCTTCCCCCAGGAGAGCCGTCCACGACGGCGAGACGCATGTCATCTGGGACCCCGCCGCGCCGAGGCGTCGACGGATCAGCCAGTGGCACGCTCTGGCCGACCGCTTCAAGGCCGCGTGCGACGAGAGCTCCGACGATGGCGGTGGGGGCGACTCGGATGGGGGCGACGCTGCCACTGAGGGCGGCGGCTCTGCCGACGGCGGCGGCGGCGAGGTGGGGGCCTCGGGTGTCGAGGAGGAGCAGGCCATCGTCGAGGCCGCGGTGGATGGCTCCGACGGCAGTCGAGAGCAGCTGTCGTCTGACAGCTCGTCTACGGCGAGTTCGAGTTCGTCGGAGGACGCTGGCGCCGACGAGCCCCCCGACCTCGGCGTCGAGCATCCGCCACACCTGCGAAAACAGGCCGTGTGTAGTTTCAGGCTGCCTGGTCATCTTGGAGGCGGCTCTATCGTCGCCTATAAGAACAACGAGATCTATGCGTACTGCGGCGAGTGTGAAGCACACGGGAGACGGTGCCGAGTGTCTCGCCGTGGCAAGGGGGCGACCAAGCGGGCGCAGGGTCAAGGCAGGCCGTTGGGCTACCTCATGGCCTGGCTGCTCTCGGCTGACGAGTGCAGCGACGCCTGGGACCACAAGAACTTGTATAAGACGATCGATCATGCTACCAGGAGGCACGGCAGGGACATCCTCAGAGGGCTCGCAGGGTCCGAGGACATCTTCGAGCAGGAGCGCCAGCAACGGGATGACGAAGAGTCCGAGCCAGAGAAATAAACATATCCGTGTACTGAGTTGCGTGCCACACGCCCTTGAATACACATGTGTTTCACGCCACGTTGGTGAAGTGTGATGTTTGCTTGACGTTGACATTTTCTGTTGCATTTGCGCGAGAGGGCTGCTGGGCGCCATTGTTTTTTTTGATCTGCACCTCACGGTGATCCGACGTCGCCCCCGCCGCGGGACTTACAACGCAGAGGTGTCGTCCTCGGGGGCGCGGGGTGGGGGCAGGGGGAGCCGCGGCCTTCCTGGGCCAGAGTGGCGGCCGTGACGGCCGTCGTGGGGGCATGTCTGGGGACGCGGCGGGTCGTCTTGAGGCCGTTGCAGGGCGTCTGGGGTCGGCGTTGGGTCCGCCAGGGAGGGGCATCGGAGCCTGTCCAACACGCCTCGGCGCCCATATAGGCGCTGCGGCGGGTCCGAGTTATGCGACCGCTAGCTGTACCACCCAATCAATGCTTGCGCTGCTAACTGCATTACCATACCAGTGATTGCACCAGGAGTTGACTAGTGACACCCGACGGGCTCAGAGAAGCGTCGGCTCGACTAGGACAAGCGGCCCATGAAGGCCCACGGTGCTCACGAAAACCCAATCTGGCCGCAATACGGCCGCAGGCGCAGCCAATCCGACCCAAGATGTTCTTCAGGAGGGCCTGGGAACGGCCCGAACGAGACCCACAATGGCGCAGGGTTGCCGTGCGACGGCCTGAGAGGCCGCCAGGGTGCCCCACAAGGACATCCCAAGAGGCCTCCAATATTGCCCCAAGGCCCAAGGGGCCCCTCATGAGACATGGCAAAACATGTTGACGCTTCGCGTGCCCCCACCAGCCCACCCAGAAACGATTGCCAAGTGAGTTGGTTAGCCAATGATTCTTGGAAGGACGCAGTCACACAGCCGTTTCGGAGGCGCGCTGAAGGGGCGCAAAACCAGCTGGAACATACAGTTTGTGACTTAATATAGTTTCCCATGCCACGGCGGTATCGCGGGCCACAGCAGTACAGTGGGAGAGCCCTGGAAGCGCAGATTGGCGGTGCTTCTGCTGGCGGTGGTGCTGGTGGTGTTGCTCATGGTGCTGGTGGCGCCGCTGCTGGTGCCGCTGCTGGTGTTGCTGGCTGGCTTGCGTGGTTTCTCATTATGCTGGGGTGCCGTTTGTGCTGTTGCTGGTTATGTTTGTGATGCTGGTGGTGCTGTTGTCGGTGCTGTCTGGTTGCTGCTGGTGCTTCGCCCGCATCTTGGGGCCATCCTGGCACATCGGTGGGCAAAGTTCGGGACCGATCCAAGGTCACCTCGAGGGGTACAGCTCGGGGCCCATCCGAGGTCACCTCGAGGGGTAAAAAGCTCGGGACGGATCTGTGGTCACCTCGGCGGGTAACGCTCGGGACCGAATCGAAGCCACTTCGTGTGGTAAAGCTCGGGATGGGTCCGTGGTCACTTCGAGGGGTAACGTTCGGGACCGATCCGTGGCCACCTCGAGTGGTACAACTCGGGGCCGATCCGTGGTCACCTCGGGGGGTAAAGCTCAGGACCGATCCGTGGTCACCTCGGGGGGTAAAACTTGGGACCAACCCGCGGTCACCTCGATGGGTCAAGCTCGGGACCGATCCGTCTGGTGCTGCTGCTCGTGCTGTTGCTGCTGCTGGTGGTGCTGCTGTTGCTGCTGTGCTTGCGCTGCTGGTGATGCTGATGCTGCTGCTGGTGCTATTGCTGGTCGTGGTTGGGCTGTCGCTGATGCTGCTGCTGCTGCTGGTGCTGCTGATGTTGCGGCTGGTGTTGCTGGTTCTCGTGCTGCTGGTGATGCTGCTGACGTTGCTGTTGGTGTTGCTGCGGATGCTGTTGCTGGTGTTTGGCGTGGTGCTGATGTTGCTGGTGGTGCTGGTGGTGCTGCTGCTGGTGCTGGCGGTGTTGGTGGCCAGCAGGGTGTGCAACAACCGCCTCGGGAGCGTTGTCTCGGATGCCTTGTGTAGCCGCCGTGGGGCGCTCTGGGTGTTTTTTTGGGGGCCCTCGTGGGCCCTCTTGGGGCTTGTTTTTGTGTGGGCCCCTGGGCCCTCTTGGGGCTCTTTCTGGGCGTCTCGGGGGGCCTCGTCGGGCCATATTGGGGGCTGCGGCTGAAACGCAAGAGGGCTGCGTTAATTCGGACCGCACCCCTTGGAAACCCACAGAAGCGCATTGGGGCCGACTGTTGCAGCTTTTCTTGGGGCGTTCTTGGGCGCCCGTGTGTGCGTGGTGGGGTGGGGTGGGGGGGGGGGGCGCCTTGGGCAGCCTTGGGCACCTTGGGCTCCCTGGGGCAATGTCGCGGCCTATTGGCGCCTTGAGAGCACGTCGGGGGCGAACGTGCGAGAAGGCAAGCAGCATTGGTTGTCCCTAGGTTTTGGAATCATGCGGGCCTCTTGGGAGGGCAATTGAAGGACGCGAAAGACATTGGAAACCCTCCCAGGGCCGTCTCGAAGCATCTTGGATGTGCGTCGAAAGCTATCTTGGGCCACCTTGAGCTATATTGGGTCATCTTGGAAGCCATCTTGGGCTATCTTCTGGGGCACCCTTGGAGCAACCTTGGGTCATATTGGGCGCTCTAATGCGTCGAGCCCCCTCCCCCCTCCCCCTCCCAGATCCAGGGCAGGGGGTAGGGGGAGTGGTGCACCCCCTCCCCCCCGCCCCCCCCGAACAAGGGAAGGAGGTTTTGGCAGAGAGACGCACCACTCGCTAAACCACATACGCCCAGAGGGCTGGTGGGATTCCGACTTGCGTCTGCCCGCCACCCCTTCCAAGCGTGCATCTTCGGAGTTTGGGCGGCGGTGGCGAGCCGATGCTTCCGATCCGAGATCAGAGCGGGGCGCGCGCCGCGGGCGCCAACGAACGCGCGCGCCCCCATCATGGTAAATCGAAGGCGCTGCGCCGCGCGCGCCGCGACGCGCCCAATGCCCCATATAGCCCGAGCGAGGCGCCGCGCCGCGCGCGCCGTTGCACGCCCGAAACCAGCCCAATCGCCTCTCTGCGGGCACGGCCCCACGCCCTGCCTGGCCCCTGGATGGGCCCGACATGTTCGCCGCGCGCACAAGGTGAAACCCGCGCTTTCGCGGGTGCCCAGCTAGACGCCGCACCGAGCGCGCCGCCAACCGCCCGAACGCAACGGTGCACCCGCTGGACTTTGGAGCTCTGGAAAGACACCCGCTGCATTCCAACCGTTCCCCCGCGGGGCCTTGCGCGGGCCCGCGCGGGCGCCCGCTGGGGTGCCACGTGGACGAACGCGTCGTCTTAGCCAAACGCAGATCGTCCTAAGGGCACGTGGGTGGCGTTTTGGGTGATATACATTCCCGCGCGAGACCGCGGCGACCAACTGTGACGTCGCGTGCTCTTTCCCCAGCCATCCCGCGGAGTCGGGCCCTCGTTTTGAAGAGAAAGCGCCCCGCGTTCCTCACTCA